TCAACGATTCGGTAGATGGAGGAAGCTCACCCCGAGATATGTTGGTCCTTTCATGATTATTGAGTGCATTGGAACTATTTTATATAGGTTACATCTTTTGGCATCGATGTCGAGTGTACATAATGTATTTCATATTTTGATGCTTAAGAAGCATTTGCGTGACGAAGAGCAGCAGAGGGTGATTGATTCACGATGCTTAAGAAGCATTTGCGTGACGAAGAGCAGCAGAGGGTGATTGATTCACCAGAGGTTGAGATACAGGATGATTTGACAGCATTTGCGTGACGAAGAGCAGCAGAGGGTGATTGATTCACCAGAGGTTGAGATACAGGATGATTTGACCACTATAGAGATTCTGGTATGTATTCTTGCTAGAGAGAATAAAAACTTAGAAACAAAGTCATTCCATAGTGAAAATTTAGTGGAACCAACAAGGAGCCGAAGAGATTTCTTGGGAGCGCAAGGAGGATGTTCGTCGTGACTACCCGCACCTGTTTGAACATGTAAGGTCGATATTTAAATGTGCTTATTTGCGTTGGTAGATTTGATTATATGTGTTGCTTAGTCACATTTATATTTAATGCTAGAATGGGTCATTCAACACTTAGCTCTTAATTATTCGGAACATATGGTATATATATGGGGGGTTTCTTATTTGGATTTTTCGCCCGACGTACTAGTTCCATCTAATTAGGGGTTAAGTGAGAATGTACGCATTTTATATTGTTAAGTTTAAATATTACTTGTATTACAAATCGAGAGATTAATGATACGAGATGTGTACGTGAGGGTTTCCTTGTTTGGATTATCCCATTTTTGTACTTTTCTCGTATTATTAATCTCTGCGATGTGACTACGGAATTTTGAGGATGAAATTCTTTTAAGGAGGGTAAATGTAAAACCCCAAAAATTTATGTTAATATAATTAATATGAGATTAATTATGATTTATGGATATTTATTTTGATAAATATAGTTAAATGGGATATGAGTATGATACAATGTGTTTTGAGTATAAACAAGTTCATTCATGAGAAAGAGAAGAGTCGAAACATGCACAATGGCCAAATATGTGTAACTGAAAAATTTTAGTCCGGTCGACCATCGTGATCGACCGTTGTCCGGTCGACCGCCACGGTCGACCATGAAACCTGCGGAAGTCAGATTCCTGTTTTGAGTTGGTTTTGGTTTCCTAAAGCCCATACTCGTTTTTTCCTGGTTTATATATCAAACTTTTAAGAATTTTCTCAGTTTTCTAAGAACTCTAACAGCCACCAAACCCCGCACAAACCCTAATTTGATTCTTGGAGAATATTAGAGGCTTTCAAGTGGATTTTTCGGGTGATTTTAACTTTTGGATTGGAGATCTGCTTTGGCTTGGCATCTTAAAATATTTTCTACAAGTTTCAGGCGAGTTCATCTCTGCTAATCCCCCTCCGAGTTTTAAAAATGTTTTTTTGTAGAACTTTTAACATGTTTCATAGAGCCAAATTGACTAGTTTATGAATAAAAGTTAATTCTTTTGTATTATAAGTATAAAGACTAGGTCTTTCCATGTTAAAAAGTTTAAGAATGAATTTACAGAAGTATGTAAGATCTGAAAATGATTTAAAACATGGTTTTATTTGAAGAAAGATGATTTGTTCTTCGTTTTGAGTTTTTATGCATGACTTAAGGTTTTGAATATAAATTTTTTGCAAATAATCATGCTATTTATATTGAGTTTGTTTCCAGAAGTTTTTATCTACTGCAGACATGCTCTCATGCAAGTTTTATATTGTTTTAGTCATGTTTGAATCACCTAAACACGGCATGAACACGACACACACAACTAGATTAAGAATCTGGAATATCAGCACATAGCGACGGTCGACCGCGTGTAGGACAAAGGCCTGAGTAGGCTCTGGAACCCGTCTCGGTCGACCGTCGTTCTTGTGCGGTCGACCGCCACACAGTCTGTGGCCATGTGTATGTTTTGTTCGACTGTTGAGTTTTTGAGCTAGTCTCTCGACCTTGTACTATTATGATAAAATGTTTATGAGCTATTTAATATCTAAAATGTTAGTAAATACCAGATATGGACACGTACATCAAGATATATGTATGTATGTTTAAAATATGATGTGTTAACATGATAAATAAGAAAAATACATAAATATTATGTTTCCGGAATAGAGAGATGAAACCTATTTTCGCAGGACGATTAAGTAAGAGTATTATAAAAATATCGTCATATTATGTTTCCAGAATAGGGAGATGAAACCTATTTTCGCAGGGCGATTGAGTAAGAGTATTACAAAAGTATAGTCATATTATGTTTCTGAAATAGGGAAATGAAACATATTTTCGCAAGACGATTGAGTAAGAGTATTACAAAAGTATCGTCATATTATGTTTTCGGGATAGGGAGATAAAATCTATTACCGCAGAGCGATTGAGTAAGAATATTACAAGAGTATCGCTAATGTATAAGAGATGGACATTTATAAGTAATATAAATTATAAATTAGTTTCTATTTTTTGAATACCCACTAGTAGGGTGCTTTCTCTGAGACCGTGACTTACACAACATGGTTTTTGGTTAGCTTTTGTTTGGATGAGTTCCTTTTATGTTAGATCCATCTACCCGAGTGTAGATCAGGATGAGATATTTGTTCTACATGTTTGAGGTTTGGAGTATTTTCCTTTTTGTTTATTGTTGTTCATTCATAGAGTTTAGAATTAGTATTTAGAGAGTCACAATTTGAGACATGGTATATACATGAGGGTTTCCTTGTTTGGATTATTTCGCTCGACGTACTAACTCTCGTATTGTAGATTCCTAAATACTAGTCTCTGGTTAGAATTTTATGAATGATTTCATATGTATATGTACTAACTCTATTTTTTATATACTCCTACACCTTCCCTTGGGAAGGGGTGGAGATGATCTTGCTTTAGCGTTTTGACGCTCGTTGTTTTCCCCCCTTTCAGGCAGTGAGTCCAACGCGTGGAGAGTCGCAAGTTGATGAGATTTCTGTATAGATGTCACCTAGCTATTTATTATATAGTAGTTAGTCAGAACTCCACAGTTAGTTGATTATGTTCAGACTCTAGACTTGTAATTCATTTTGTAGAGGCTGAGAGCCATAGTGATACTTTATTTAACTCTTCATATTTGAGGTTTATTTCAGACTCGGAGATTTCTACTCTATTTTATTTGGGCTCACTAATGATTATTCTCATGCTTCCTCTGTGTATATCTGGTTTTACTCTATTTTTTTTATTTGTCTGTTTGTACCTTCACCTATTTGTTATTTTTACTAGAGAGATAGTAATTATGATGGTGAAAAATATCGTAGAACGGTGTTTGGTGCTTGTTAGGTTTGATATTCTGGGTTTCGCCTTGGACTGCAGCCTCGCACGAAACGTGGGGCGTCACAGACTTGGACTGATGATTGAATTAGATTGAAAAGAATTAATTGCAATTGAAATTAAATTCTAATCAGAAGAAAATTAGAACTGATAATCCAATTTAGAGAAGGGAAAACTGTTTACATACCCCTTAAGAGGTTTATTGTAAATTATGTCATAAAGTCAAGAAGAGTTGCATATTATAAGATAGAAGTAGAGATTGAGAGATGGCTTCTTGTAGGATCTATCTTAGATCACAATAATAGATTATCTTATAATCTGTAAAATAAAAGAAGACTTAATTATCTTCTCATGGACGTAGGTGATTGCCGAACCACGTAAATTTTATGTATTTAACTCTTGATCTATTATTTTGCAATAATTTCATTACTATTTTGCTCGAACTAGTATTTTCTCAGCGTTTCTATATTACCTGGTGATTGATTTGTCTACAAAGAAGCAGAAGAGCTTAATCAGGATGTTCTGGCTTTTGCGTAGATCTCCAATTGGTGCGTCACGATTGGTGTCGGGTTCGGTGGGGTGTGCACCAATAGGGTCTTGTAAGCTAGCTGAACCGGGTGTGAAGTGAACTTTCACATAGTGAGGAAGCCCCATCGCGAGAAGAATGATTGGATGAACGATTGTTATCTAAACCACTATAAAAATCTCATGTGTTTTGATTGTATTTTTATCCACAGTTTGGCTATTGTTTTTTGTGTTTGAATTATTGTTTTATTTTCGCTCTATTATATGTGATTTTCCCATGCATCTCGGATCCTAACAAATATTCCTTTGTAAAGAGCTTTATTTCGAAGATGTCGCAAGCCCCTGAAAAGGACTATATCTTTGCAAGCTTTTCTGCTATAGAAAAGTCCACAATTGTAGTCTCTATAATGTAGTACAGCTTGCGCGCGGATTCCTTTAGTTAGAATTTCCTTTTCAATCTTATCAACTTTCCTTTATTCCTAGAGTTTTTCGAAGTGATCCCCTCCACTTACAATCCTCTTCGAAAGAAAGTCCTCCACTCGAACCTTCCACCTTCCAGTCGCCTTGAGCCATTTACTGTTTTCACATGAGATAATTCAACTAAACATGGGTATTGCTTGATTATTAATACAGAGACAAATAACAGCTAGCAACAAGAGAAATGGTTTTTCTGAGAACCTATGGGTGACGCTTAAGGGAAGAGAGAAACAGAGAGAGGTGAATAGTAAGTGAGCCGCAATATTTCTCACTTATCTCTCTTCTCCTTGTCGCCTACTAACACCAGCATTTGTTAGAGAATCTTAGGACAAAATTAGAATAGAGTACTCTTTTTTTTTTGGCCTATACCAAGTTTAGTTCCGGTTAATATAAAAATGAAGATAAAATATTCTTGTTGTAGTCGACCCTCAAATTCGGAATAAAGACTCTATTCGGCTGCTGCTTTCCTGTATAGTATCTTTTAATTTGTAGACTATTAGGTAAATTTACATTTATTGAAAAAAAACCCGAAGATATTCCACATGAAAAGTTGGTGTAGTGGCCTCATACCAATTGACCATCTAGCATATAGAAAAGACCAACACGAAAGTATATATGGACATGGACGTATAAATAACGTGCGCACACAGAGACTGATCAGTAATAAATAACCCCTTAGGTTTGGTTCTCATCCTGAGTCCAATTTTATGCCCTCTCCTCTTCCTCTAATATTATTTTTTTCTCAGCTTGATCGATCTCAATGGCAAAGACCAAGTGGGTACTTGCAGTTCTGCTTCTGCTCTTTTTGCTCGATGTGAGTCCATACAATTCTCATGTACATCTTTCTTATGTTTACTATAAAACACTCGTTTATAAAGAAAATTAAATTTAAGTTTTCTCATCTCACATAAGTTCCATATTTTATTCTATACATGACTACAGATGGATAACTTCACTGGGCAAGGGATTATTGGGGTGCAAGGAATAGGTAACTTGAATACCCAACTTTCTAAGTCCTCTCAGTCCGGCCTTTTAAAGATAAATTAACACACAGCTTTTATCTTGTATGCACGTGTTGCAGTACCTCTATGGGTTATATATAATTTTATATTTTAATGTTGTCTACGTGCAGATTGTGGGTCAAAGTGTGCGTATCGATGCAGCAAAGCATCAAGGAACAAGATGTGCCTAAGGGCCTGCAACACGTGCTGTCAGAGGTGCAGCTGTGTTCCTCCGGGCACTGCCGGAAACCAAGACGTGTGCCCGTGCTACGCCAAAATGACCACCCATGGAGGCCGCCTCAAGTGTCCTTAATTAAAAGTCTTTCCACGCACTGCGATAATATCCACATGAAGATTACTATAAGTACGTTTGTATAATTAATAAAGGTGGTGTGGTTTGCTTCGACTATAGTTTGATCCTGTAGGCTGTATATTGTGGAATAAACCCAGGAGAGTGCTTGTTATGGGAGTTTACTATTTTGTTTAAACCTTTAATTTCTACTGGATCGAGCTTTAATTGGTCCTGAAATATCAAGAGATGATGTGACTTCACGTTAAGGTGTGCAATTAGAATGTGGGTCCTACTTGTTCAAAAGTACAGAGCCAACTTTTCTGCTCATGATCATACGTTGTTATCTGGAATAGTATAGTTCATGTTAAAAATAATTATTATTATGGTTGAGTAAATTGCCTTCATTTCTAATCCTCACGAAAATTGTAATAGTCCATAAAGTAATCGGGGATTAAGCTAGAGCATATGTCCCATCTTATTCCACAATGAATAAATAACAAAATTAAGGGGAAAAAAGAAATACTCCAATTGAATTTTTTTGACTATTTACAAATAGTTAAAAAACGAAAAAAAAGGGAAAAAAAAGAAGACAAACCCAAATTGAACTTTTTTTTCTACTCACAAATAGACTCACTATTTTCATCTTTGGGTAATATATCTGTCAAAATTAAGATTAAAAGTGTCAAAGAAATTTAACCTCGGGGGTCACTATGTGACAGTGAAGCTATAGGAGTAGCAAGTCAGAAACAATAATACTACAAGAGGTCTATTTGTTAGTTAAATTTATGGGGAAAATGTGTCCAGGCCCTAAAAATAGGAACTTCGTGTGACGAGCCCCTTTGTATTTTGCCACATGTGGAATAACCCAAAAAGTGACTTTAATGTTTGAAGCCCTCTCCACGTCAGCATTATACTAAAAGCAGAATGTATTTTGTAAAAAAGCCGATATTGCCCTCCTCTTTCTTCCCCAGACGAGGCCTCGTCCCGAAACAGTAGTCACTTCTCATTAATGCGATATGATAGAAAAAATGGAGGAAAATTTCCCCCTTTTCTTTACTCCATCATGAGCAATAACTATTTAGTTATCCATTACTCCTCCTTAGACAAAAATTCTCTCCGTTACTCTTACCTTCCCTTCAAAATGGCTGAGAAGGACATCATATGTATTGTCTCTTCGGGGTATAAAGCTGTATTCTTGAAGATTAACTCTTCAACCACCATCTTGGATCTTAAGTTTGATGTGGCAGAGATGTTAGATCTTCCATATGAGTCATTAATTTGGGCATACGAAGATGAAACAGTTGGAAGCTTAAAATTTCCCATTGAGAACGAGGGGATCTAACGTTTATGGTGGAGCATTGCCACAATCTTGGACTAAAAGAGGTTCACATGCAAGCTTTTAAAGAAGCAGATGATTCTTCGAATAAACAAGAAAACGAGCAAGTCCGACAAGACATGTAGGTTAACTGTAAAATTGTTTAACTTTAGTTCTAATCTTCTTCTTGTTAGTTCTATGCTAGGTTTAACTGGACTTCAGTTCTAATTCGATCGTATGTTAGTTGTAATCTTGGTCCTGTTAGTTCTAATCGATTTATCGTTAAGAAGTTCTTTGTTAGGCTCCATATGTTAGTTCTAATGGTTTCTTTGTTAGTTCTAATCGCTATTTTGTTAGTTCTACTAGATTTATTGCTAGTTCTACATCTAGTTCCATATGCTGCAAGCACTGCAAAGTTTGTTAGTTCTAATCTATGTCTTGTTAGTCCTAATGATTATATTGTTAGTTCTAATAGCTATTATGTCAGTTCTATACAATTTATTGTTAATTTTAGCTCAAGTTCGTTAGTTCTAATAGCTATTATGTCAGTTCTATACAATTTATTGTTAATTTTAGCTCAAGTTCAATTTGTGGTCGAGTATGTTAGTTCTAATGTCAGTTCTATACAATTTATTGTTAATTTTAGCTCAAGTTCAATTTGTGGTCGAGTATGTTAGTTCTAATTAATGCACTGTTAGCTCTAATGGTTTTCTTGTAAGTTCTCGCTAGTCCTAATTGATTCTAACTGCAAGCAGTTGTCGTTTTTGTTTTTTAGCTTTTGGTGATGTTACTACTATTTGTGTAGTTTATGATTATTATTTTATGTTCTTAATATTTGTAGCGCTTCTAGCAGTTTGAACTCACAAAGTATAGACTGTGGCCTGCCGGTGTTGTCGTCCATAAGTGTTCTAGATAAGAATCTCAATGACAATCCTTCCGGAGATAATATTTTAAAGATTGATGACATGATTAGCAGATCAGAGAGGATTCCTTCTTGGTGGCACACAGCTTTAATCGGTGAGGGACAACGATTTGAAAGTGCGAAGGAGTTAAGATTGGCCTTGCTATACTACTCCATGGCAAAAAAATACAAATACGAGTTTGAGAAGAATGAACCAAAGCGTATTCAAGTTTTTTGTCAGTTTAAGGAAGCCAAAAATTGCCCGTGGCTGTTATTTGCCTCTCCACTGAAAAATGATAATAGACTTGAAATCAAAAGGTTCGTGGACAATCACAATTGTGGGCAACATGGCAATAATGTAGGTCAATCTAGAGCCTCTCGGCAATTCATTGCTACCCAATTACAACCCACGTTAAAGGTATGATCGGACATACGACCTATTGATGTTCAAAAGGAGTTTCTAAGTTCGTATGAGATTAGGGTCGATTATAGTAAGATTTGGTGGGGTAAAGAAAGAGCACAAGAGCAATTATATGGTGATGCCCATGAGTCCTACAATCAATTATGATGGTAAATAGAAGATGATATCTACAGTAGAAAAACTATTTTCATTTATGTGACGCTGTTTATACTAATTTTGCAATGTTGGTACTAAAGCTTAATCTTCAATTTTCTAGGTATGTAGAAGAGGTCAAGAAGACAAACCCATGTAGCTATATTCATGTTGAACAATATGAGGGGAGGTTTACACGGATATTATTCTGCTACACCGCCTGCATAAGTGGTTTTTTACATGGATGTAGACCACTTGTATTTTTGGATGGTACCTTTCTGAAAGATCGATTTAAAGGTATACTCCTAAGCGCCGTAGCATATGATGAAAATCAGGGGATATTTCCATTGGCCTATTGTATATACGATCAGGAAAATAACGTTAATTGAAAGTGATTCTTACAAGGTTAGTTCTATCCCGAGCTATGTTAGTTCTATTGCAGGTTATGATAGTTCTATCTCTTTCCTTGTTAACTCTAATTCGTGTATGGTAACCACAACTCTTTGTAGGTTTGTGGTCTATTCTCTATGAAATGCCAGATCCATACAACCCTCCACACAAGCTAGTGATAATTTCAGATGCGGATAAAGGGATCAGAGAAGCAGTTAGAGAATTTTTCCCAGATTCTATACACTCTCGATGTGTGCTATATCTAGTTGAGAACTTCAGGAAAAAGTTGAAGGATTTGGGATTTAAATCAAAGGATACTCAGATCATGGGTAATCCATTGCAATCTGCATGTTACAAATATACTAGAGCAGAATGGAACGATTATATGGATGACATTAGACTTGTTGATGAAAGAGCATATAATATTGTGATGAACTACGCTCCAGAGAACTGGGCCAATGCGTTTTTTCCTGGAGTTAGGTAAGTTATAAGCTATTTCATTACTTATCTATTATAAGCCACTTGTCTAATGAATCTAGACGTGAAATTATGCAATAGAATTAACAATAACACAGCCAGAACTAACATATCCAATAGAACCAACACTTAGAATAGAACTTAAAGTTATCTAGAGATAAAACTAAGCGTTAACACCTAGAACTAACACGGCAACAGATAGAACTAGCATGAGGGCAGTTAAAATTTACACAGAAGTAGATAGAACTAACAAAGACTCAAATGAACTAACTTTAAGTTTTAACGAATTCCCTGTTATGTTTCAGATATGGTCACGTTACATCAAATGTTGCAGAGTCATTCAACAAATGGATACATGAGGCTAGGCTTCTACGGATACAACTGGTAAAGCACATATGTAAATAGATTATGGTTCGCATGACTGAGCAATGAGTCATGGCTGAAAGTTGGAATCAATTTCTTTGCCCTAAAGCTGAACTTGCCCTCACAGAGAACATGAAAAATGACCGTCCATTAGAGGTTCGTCAGTCCCACATAGGATTATTTAAGGTACAATCTCATAGATCTTGTCAAGTGGATCTAGACAATAAAACATACACTTACCATGGTGGGATGTAACCCGTGTCCCTTACAAACATGCATGTGTAACCATTATGTTTATGGAAAGGGATATCTACCAGTTCTGTGACTGGTTTATGATGGTTGAAGCCTTTAAAAAAAGCTACAAGCTAATCCTCTACCCTATCCCTGACTATGAGAAGCGCATCGTGCTAAGGGATGAGATACAGATCCTACTTTCACTTACAACAAAAAGAAAAGGGAGAAATAAAATCAAGCGTATCAACAACAGAATTGTTTACACACGACCAGTTAAATGTTCTCGATGTCATATGAAAGGTCATAACCATAAAACATGTAATGAACCTATCGCTAACTAAGTGTTTGATATGTTGATAGTGTTTCGATCCCGCTATGTACAAAATATTAAGTTTTTTGCCGATTGCTTTTTCTTTGTTGTTAAATAGGAACTAACACCAACTTACAATAGAGGCGCTCTGCTCTCACTAGAACTAACGTTCTGGACATATTAGAACTAACACGCCACGCTCTAGAACTCACGCTAGAGGGGCTAAGATAAACACGCAGCACGATAGAACTAATATCGTAGCTATTAGAGGTGCTCTCACTAGAACTAACGCTCTGTACAGATTAAAACTAACGCTCTGTACAGATTAGAACTAACACGCCACACCCTAGAACTGATGATGGAGGGGCTAGGACTAACACGCAGCACGATAGAACTAACATCGCAGTTATTAGAGGCGCTTTTACTAGAACTAACGCTCTGTACAGATTAGAACTAACATGCCACACCCTAGAACTGACGCTGATGGGGCTAGGACTAACACGCAGTACGATAGAACTAACATCGCAGCTATTAGAGGCGCTCTCACTAGAACTAACACTCTGAACAGATTAGAACTAACATGCCATGCTCTAGAACTAACGCTAGAGGGGCTAAGACTAACACGCAGCACGATAGAACTAATATCGCAGCTATTAGAGGTGCTCTCACTAGAACTAACGCTCTGTACAGATAGAACTAACACGTCACGTCCTAGAACTGACG